GACCATAACCCTTTATATATTTCCATATGTATTCGGCCCATCGTCAAATACAAACCCTAATGGATCTGGTCTCTACACATATAGTCCAGCCCACACTTTAATTAGATGCTTAAAGCCCAATTATTTAATTCCTTATTAGATCACTTTAATTTTGGGCTTAACTTTAAGATAATATTTATACACAGTTAATTACATATGTCGGCCCATCACGGAAAATTAAATAATTTCCCAACACAAGGTTCAATTACATCTTTTATTAGATTACGGTTTTCCATTTTAGCTATTACTATTGCAACGGAAGTTATAACTTAGGCGCTTTTTTGGTTGTTCTTTGATAAATTAAAACAAAATTTTGTAGTTCTTCAAAAAGCTGATCCTTTATCGATATTCTACAAAACCAACAAGATTAAATTATGTTGTTATCTTCGATTTTAACGTTCACCACATCCTGTTATTAGATTTGTATTAATACTAGCTTAACCGAAATGGCACAATTTTATGAAGACTGGTGATTGCAAAGTAAATTCAATAATTAACTAACTATGAAGCTTTTATTAAAACTCAATTAATTAAAACCAGTAGGACCTTGAATCCCCCATATTCTTACACTTTAATATCAATGTAAATAATCTTTCTCGAGTAATATCATTACCATATCTTTAGGAATGATGTGAATCCATGAAAAATAATTAAGTATAAAGAACATTCATAATTGTATTCTTTATCGGACATTATAATGATTGCTAATGCATGCTAAAATTCCTATTTCTTCTCTGAAACAAAATAAAAATCACAAATCTATTAAAATATTGATCAAGTAATTGAAAGTCATAACCTAACAATCATTCAAGCCAAACATACATTTAACATCAGTCATATAAACTTCAACATATAGGATTCATCGTTAACGTGGTGCTATATAATTAGCCGCGAATCATGAAATTATACAAACACGATTTATAATAGTAACACATTACCCAACTTTCAATTATAGAAAGAATAAGGAAAATAGTCTTGGAACTTTTAAATTTCTTCAACAATTCTTGAATAGTACTCTTGTATCCACTTCTTCTTCAAAAATCCGAACAAAAGTACTGCATTTGTGTATTTTATGCATTTGTGATTCAAAGCCTTCTTGTTCCTCTTAAATGACAAAACAAAATCTCTATTTATAGTTCCAAGATTAGGTTAAAATTTGTGTTCCATCCTCCTCCCATGTTGAACTCTAACTGGATTAGGAAATCAAATCTTCGCTTACCTCGTCCAACCATGTGATCGCATGAGGTAATGAGTGGCGATTGATAAGTGTATTTTGTGTAATTATTTGAGCCATATTACTAAACTTTTATATCATCACAGTATTAATTTCTACTTAA